TTCAGGGTGGAATCCTCAGCGGTGAAGGTGGCGAAGAAACCAAAGGTAAAAAAAGAATGACGTTGATTCAACTATTAAGTTACTTTCTTGATTTGAGTTAAGAGTGTTGAAACAATGTTTTTTATTGATCTGCAGGCATGCTTTTGCTCGATGTTATTCCACTGAGTTTGGGTATTGAAACTGTTGGCGGTGTCATGACAAAATTGATTCCAAGAAACACTGTGATTTCCACCAAGAAGTCTCAGACATTTACCACTTACCAAGACCAGCAAACCACGGTCTCTATCAAGGTATATGAAGGTGAAAGAAGCTTGACTAAGGATTGTCGCGAGCTCGGAAAATTTGATCTTTCTCGCATTCCACCTGCTCCAAGGTATGTTTATTAAGAATATTGCTTTTCTGACTCTTTGCTTAAACCATAAAACTTTGTCAATCAAAAAAATTAGATATGCCATTTAAAATAGAATTATGCAAATGGAACATAAAACAGAACGACGTATCAGATATGACTTCTTTTTTTTGTTTTTGTTTTTTTTTGTTTACTTTCTTGTGTTGAATATGACATTATCATTGAAGATGATCTAAAGGATTAATATAAAACAACGAAATTACATAATCGAAATTCTAAGCCTTTAAATAGCTAACCTTAAAGTATGATACTAAAATCATATGTTGTCGTTGGCTAATAAATGTCTTGAAGTCTCTAATGCAGGGGAATTCCTCAGATTGAGGTCACCTTTGAGGTTGATGCCGATGGCATCCTACATGTAACAGCCGAGGACAAGGCGGCGAAGAAGTCACAATCCATTACCATCACCAATGAAAAGGGGCGTCTCAGCCAGGAAGAGATTGAGAAGATGGTGAAAGAAGCTGAAGAATTCGCCGAAGAGGATAAGAAGTTGAGGGAAAAGATTGATTCCAGGAACAAGCTAGAGACCTACATTTACAACATGAAGAACATGGTAAACGACAAGGACAAGCTCACGGACAAGATGAAATCGAGCGACAAGGAGAAGATAGAGAGGGCATTGAAGGAGGCTCTTGAATGGCTGGACGACAACCAAAACGCGGAGAAGGAAGACTATGATGAGAAGCTGAAAGAAGTAGAAGCGATTTGCAATCCTGTTATAAAGCAGGTTTATGATAAGAGTGGTGGAAGTTCTGCTTCTTCAGACGAGGAAGAACCAAATGATGAGTTTATGATAAGAGTGGTGGAAGTTCTGCTTCTTCAGACGAGGAAGAACCACATGATGAGTTGTAGAAAATGGAGTTTTGACTACCATCGTTCCTTTTTTTTTTTTTTTGTTCTTTAAATTTTTGTTTTCTTCATGATTTTTAACCTTGATAAATGACTACTGCGTGAGTTTATCGTCGGTTGTTATTTTTCATCTTCTTTAATAAAAGAAGAATTTTAGTTCAATTACATTGGCATTCAAAGCATTTAATTGAGAAAGTATAGTCTTCGTCTGCATTTTGAAATCATATGTTAGGTATACCGTCTTTGCAACTTCAAGGGTCAAATAGCTTCGTTCATCATTTTCCTCTTTCAGGGAAAATTTATTGCTCAAACCAAACGAAAAAAGAAGGGAAATATTGGAGAATACTAAATAAAAATTAAAATTAAAATTAAAAATTAAAACAAAAGAAGGGAAACGACGGTTAACAAGAGCTCTCAAACGCCCCTTGGGACATAATTATTGATCTTTATTGCTCATTCTGCTGTGATTAGAAAGATAATCTGAAAATGGTCCTTTTTAACATAACATAATTAACACAACTAACAAAATGCTTTTATTTGAGGGGTGAAAACCATTAATTTGTGTTTTTCGCAATTACTAATTTATTTTGTACGTACCTTACGTTTTTAAGAACATTATGACAGTACCTTCATGCTTTAAAAAAATCATTTGATATTCTAAAACGAGTTTTTGTGAGCCTTATTTTTATCATCCCTTATATAGTAGACATATACGTAATAGTGAAACACGTCACCTTTTTAACTACGTATACCAACATGTGTAAAGCTTTTGTATTCGCATGCAGATGTGCGTGAATAAATTTCTCGCTAGACATATGACTTCCAAACGAGGCTTCAATTACGTACTAGTCCAAAATCCGCACGTGTATCTTTAGTTTGTTGACCTTTTATACATGAATATTAGACCTTTTAAAGGATATATGAGATACAAGATTATTCTCGTCTTATTATTATTATTATCATTATTATTATTTTAATAGAGATCATTTAGGGGAAAGAAGTTAGTGAGATAAATTACAGAAAAAATTACTTATGGATCCAAGAAAAGGACATAAGTATGATAAGTATTTATAAGAGACGCATTTGAAAAATAAAATATTTTAAAAAACTGCAAGATAAAATACTCAAGTAGGAGGCGCATTAAGAAAGTTATTTTGATAGGCATGTTATAAGGAAAAAAAATTCAATGAGGTATATATACGAAAAAGATTTAAAAAAGAATAGATGTACGAAAGTGTACATTTAAATCAAAATGTGTATTTCAATCGAGTACTATATATATCTATATATATATATATATAGATAGATTAAAACAAATCAATAAAACACTATTTAGGGGTATGAGAAGGAAAAACATGTTTAAATAGGGACACTTCCGAGAAAAATTATTTCATTTTGCCTTTTGGGATAATTAAAAAAATTAACGAATGTCTCGTTTAAGAAGATAATATTTAAGAGGATTTTTTAACAAAAAAAGAAGTAAGGACGTGTTTGGAAAAA